ACAGCTGTGAATTAGGTTGTAAAAGTTAGCTGTGTGGGAAAGCCAAGACAAATAAATTTGATTGTTTTTACGTACACACACACACACACACACACACTCTCTCTCTCTCTCTCTCTCTCTCTCTCTCTCTCTCTCTCTCTCTCTCTCTCTCCAGAGTAAATAGTATAGGCTTACATCCTTTTTTGTCTAGTAGTTCTGTCTTGTGCTTAAAGATATTTTCAGATAAATCATTCTCCTTCTGGATCAGAACTGCCCTGTGACAAACACTGGAATTGTTTCTCTCATTCTGCAGATAAGGAAAATATGGCAAAAAGATAACAGATAGTTGATGGGCGAGGAGGGCAGTGCTAGGATCCAGATACTCACTCTCTCCCATGCTCCTTCCTGTGCTGTGTGTCCCGCTGTCCAGAAAGAGGCAGGTTCTGTGAAGAGAAGGGCCAGGTAACTAAAATGTTTAAGTAGGTGGTATGAAACATTCCAGAAAACACCAGAAAGGTGTTTGCCTCAAGCCTTTCCATCTATTCTGAAGGCCTCCTTCCAGAAACACTATTTTTTATTTTTATTTTTTATTAGGATGCCCATACTATAATGCAAATTACTTGCTAGTCTGAATTCCAGGAACTTCCTTTGTGGTCTAAACTGAAGTTTCTGTTGGGAATGAGAAATAAGGAAGTAAATGCATATGGTTTCATTATTTTCTTGATTCCAAGAGGGAAGTCTCCAACGCTGGCCTTTGTATCTCAGTAGTCTAGACCTCCTGAATCACATGAGGCAACACAGACTAACAGAGGAGCCCTTTTGTAGGCCCTGGTTTTAAAAGGGTGGGCAGATGCAGGTTACAGGTGTACACTGAGCAGAGTGTCTAAACCTAGCCTGGCTTCTCATAGCCAGGGAAATGAGCCCTGAAAGCTTTTGTTTGGGTTTGGGGTTTTTGTTTGTTTTGGGTTTTTTGGTCTGTTTGGGTTTTTTTGTTGTTGGTTTGTTTGTTTGTTTGTTTGTTTGTTTGTTTGTTTGTTTGAGACAGGGTCTCTTTACGTAGCCCTCAATGTCCTGGATCTCACTCTGTAGGCCAGACTGGCCTTGGACTCAGAGGTCCGATTAAAGGCCTGTGTGAAAGAAAGGTCTGATAAGCGGGGCCCGTGGCAGTGCTGGTTACCCGTGGAAAGGTCACAGTCACGACAGAACCCAGTATTAGTTTTAGAACTTTATTAGGAGGAAGAGGGGTGGGGAAGGACCAGGCCTGGGAAAGAGCATGTGCAGAGGGCAGAGAGAAAAAGATGGGAGCAGAGCAGAGAGAGAGGGTGCGGTCTGCATCTGGCTTTTTAAGGGCTCCCTGGATGCATCTGGCTTTTTAAGGGCTCCCTGGATGCATCTGGCTTTTTAAGGGCTCCCTGGACGGAGTTGTCAGTGCACACTCATGACCTAAGAAGCAAGACCTTTTGCTTAACTCCTGAACTGCGCATGTGCGGTCATGTAGCTGGGGTGAGGGCAGAATGCTAACACTGTGCCCAGCCGTCTGTCTAACAGTCGGTGTAGATTTTGAGACTGGGTCTTAGGTTCCTCAAACTCACTCTGGTCTGCACTTCCAAGTGCTGGGATTGCAAGCCTGTCCTACCATGCCCAGCCCTGAAAGGCTATTTTCTGACTAGCTGGGTCCAAAAGGAAGTTCATGTTGAGTCATGGGATATATTCCTGGGTTGCTGTACTAAGAACATTCAGCATGGCACTGTAGTGGGACGATCTTTACCCAAGTCCCTTAACTCTCTGGCTTTCAGTTCTCCCACCCGCGAAATGAGCAGCATTGGTCCCACTTGCACCGATTCTGCAGATCGGATGAAGTCATGCCTATGTGTGGAAGTGTTTTTCACTCTTTCATTCATTCAGTTATGACGGGGCTCCTATGTGCCAACATAGTTCTAGGTGCTGGAGATAGAATGGTGACTTTTGTAAGTGGTAATTCCTATCCGGAGTGCTTCCCTTCTTTTCTTGTCTGTTTTGGCCCAGAAGACCATACTAGAGTCCATCTCAGGAATCCAGCTAAGTGGGGATGCTGTGTCCTCAGCCCACAGTTCCTAGCAACTGGGCAGCTGGGAAAGACAGCTGCATGTGCCGCTCGCCCCCTCACCCCCGACTCCCACTCACCCCCTCCTCTGTGACTCTGTGGAGTGTGGAACATTCTTTTTAACCTCCTTCTTTTGCATATCGGCAAACAGACTCCTCAGCAGTTTGGGGGAAAGGCCATAGAACTGGTCATATAGCATCCCTGAGTCTGAGGACCACCCCTCCTTCTTACTGTGTGTTTAGTGGCAAAGGTGAAGCTGGCTGTGCCTAGGCCTGTAACGTGATAGGGGAGGGGCAGAGCTACTGAGTCCCTAACGGCCTGTGGAAAGGGGTGGATGGAAGCCACATATTTGCTTCCTTACTCATGGAAAGCAAAGCACTCAGGGGCTGAACCCTGAGGTTACACGATGTCGTCAATAACACAGAGAAGCACGGGTCAACTTGGTTCGTCCATATTCAGTCTATGACGCTCTAAACTTTCCTGCCCTTTCGGGTCTCTGATCTGACTTTTAGTTTTACCCAGGCCAATCATCTCTGACTTCAGCATGAACATCTTGAGCCTTGGCCAAATTTCTTTTGTCCCTAATTCAAACACAGTAAGTCAGAAATGTATTGCCCTAAAAGACTATTGGGGGCTGGAGTGATGGTTCAGTAGTTAAGTAGCACGTGTTGCTCTTGGAGAGGACCAGGCTTCAATTTCCCAGCATCCACCTGGTGATTCACAACTATCCATAGCTCCAGTTCCAGGAGATCCAATGCCCTCTTCTGACCTCCAAGAGCACCAAGCATGCTGATGCTCATACATACATTTGGATGAAATACTCACACATAAAATAAAGTAATAAATCGAATAAAAAAATTTAAAGGGTATTGGTTATAACTTTCCAAATCTCCTGGATTCTGAGTCTGTCTCCAAGAAAAGTCTCTACATGGAACTCAGGTTACCATACTGGGTGGCAATGGATGCATAAGGGGAAGCTGAGGGCATACCCTGGAAAAAGGGCTGAAAGAGGAAACGAGAAGCTGCTGGGCTTGCTGAAAACTGTCAAGAAGTCAATCTTTTTTTTTTTTTGGTTTTTGGAGACAGGGTTTCTCTGTGTTGCCTTGGCTGTCCTGGAACTGGCTCTGTAGACCAGGCTGGCCTTGAACTCATAGAGATCCACCAGCTTCTGCTTCTCAAGTGCTGGGATTAGAGGTGTGCACACCGCTGCCAGACAAAGTTAATCGTATTTAGGGAAATAAATAGAAATATTTAGCTATGGGAAAAGCAAGGTAACACCGTAGCCCGCATGACGTATGCTTTCGTGGCTCTCTCTCACACTAGGTTCTGTGGGCTCTTATTTCCTTAAGGTAAATGCGTCTCCTTTCCATTATACAGACAGGCAAGCAGCAGCTAATAGAAGGAAGTGAATCATCAGAGGTCATTCACTGAAAATGAGATTTTGAGGAACCTCATGACACATTTCCACCTTCCTATTCTGAATCCTCACCTCCTTCCTTCCTTCACAGCCACCCTCGGTGCCTGTCTCTCCTCTCCGCCTACAGAAAATGCTCCATTCCCCCAAGAAGTGACAGAGACCAACCAGAGGAGCCTCTGAGGAAGGTTTGGAAGAATGCATAGACAACTGTGTGAACATAGAGAAAGTACATGTGCACACACACACACACACACACACACACACGCACGCACGCACGCACGCACGCACGCACGCACGCGCCACAGCAGGGACACAGAGAGACAGTGGCACAGTTGGGAGGAACAGGATATGGATAACTGCATGCCCAGAATGTTCCTCCTTGACGCTGGATGCAATGATTGTGGCAAACACAAAAGAAAACCAAAAGAGGCTGGTTTTCTTCAGGGGTTATCATCTATTCCTTGTTAAAGGGTGATGACAAAGACAGGTACAGCGGCCCACAGAGTTCAACACCAACCTGGACAACATTCCAAGAAAATTAAAATGTTAAAGATAGCTAATAACTATTTTTTGTTTGTTTTTTCAAGACAGGGTTTCTCTGTGTAGTTTTGGTGCCTGTCCTGGATCTCACTCTGTAGACCAGGCTGGCTTCGAACTTACAGAGATCTGCCTGGCTCTGCCTCCTGAGTGCTGGGAATAAAGGTGTGCGCCACCACTGCCGCTGCCACCACCACCACCCGGCTGCTAATAACTAATTTTATTGTATGGTATTTGCTTTTAAATTTTTAACAATGGTCTTTAAAGAAAGTACTATTAATGTGACCATTTTATAGTTAATAAAACTAAGAAACACAAGTTAGAACAAGTTCCCCAAGGTCATCCTGTAGGTAAACAGTAGAGCTGGTGCCCCCATCCAGACCTGGCTGATTACAGGGCTTGGGAAACCTTCTGAGACAGGATCCTATTCAATCAGTAAGGGCGGGCGTTTGTCCTTATATGGGGGAATGTCCTGCTTTTTGTTGTTGTTTGTATTTCTTTGGCTTGTGTAGCCCAGTGTAGCCTTGAACTTGTTATGTGGCTGAGGACAGTTTTGAACTCCTGATTCTCCTATATCTACCTCCCCAAATGCTGGAATTACAGGTGCGCACCAGCATGCCTAGCCCATGCAAATTTTATTTCTAACTCATGATGGCACCCAGGAAAGTTTCAGCTATCCAAGGCCCTTCTGTTTGGTGTTTGGTTCCTACCTATCCAGCTCGAGCCAGACTTTGATTAAATATATATATATATCTTGTATAATATTAGAGGGACCAGCCTTAATATTATACATCCCAGGGGCTCAGGAGAGAGAACTACTAACGGCGAGGACTATTTTCAGGAAATAGAATCTCAGCACACCGAGTTCTATAGTCCACTTGCTTTAATTCCTCTGGCATAACATCCTTTATACACAGCTTCAGTTCTGTTCTCAT